CCCCAAAACCCCAAAACCCCAAAACCCCAAAACCCCTTTTAACCAAAATCTTACTGAAACTTATAATTAATTATTAGGTAAGCAAATCTATTGGCACTAAGGCAGTCTCTATTGAGGGAATACGCTTTATTTCTCAACTGTAGCTCTTTTACGGATATCTAAGAATATTAAGCGGCATAACCCCCTCTGAATTTTTAACGAAGATTTAATCGAGTTTAGATAATGAACACCGATTTTGAAGCATTGGAAGCTGACATCCTCCAACGTAGCAACAGTGATAAGGATTATATGGATTTCATTATTAAGGCATTCGATATGGCAAGAAACGAATTGAATGAGGTACAGAAGTTAGAGAGAAGAAATAAGGTACATCTTACTGAAATTTCAAAGTCTACTCAACAAAATGGAGAGATGAACCTACTTCAAGGTAATTAATAACTTCTAATGATCCATAGCGAAGGACTTAAAAACAAGAATCTCAAGGCTAGAGGAAAGAAACGAATCCCTTACAGAAGAGATCAAAAATCTAAGTCTCAAGAATGCCTGCTTATTTTTCAAAGAAACTGAGCTTAAAGAAATCAACAAAGACCTAATTGCAAAAATCAAAGAAAAGTCAGACCATTTCAAGAGTCAGAAGATCAGAGCGGAATCAATAAACAAAGAAAAGACCACAATCGAACTTCAGCTAAATGAAGTAGTGCTCGAGAAGCAAAGACTTACCGGATCTTGCTCTATGATGAGGGAAGAGACTGACCAAATTAAGAGAGACGTCTCCCATCTTGAAGATGCTAAGCAGAATCTTGAAAAGAAGATTATGGAGCATGAACAACAAGCTCATGATCTTGGTTCTCAGATTGAACAACTTCAAGAGAAGCAAGTTATCTTGGAGAAGAACTTGGAAGATAAAGATACCACAATCCAAGAGCTTCAAGAGAAAGATGCTTTCAAAGCCAAGCAGATTCAAAATCATCAGCAAGAAAAAGAAAACTGGGTGAATGACACTAATTGCTACAAAACCCAGATTGAAAAGCAGAATGAGCTTTTGCTGAAAGAGGAAGACAAAATCCAAGATCTCACGAATCGGATCCAAGTAAAGGAGGATGCTCTCATGAAGTATGCTGAAGAAAAGCTTAAGAGTGATGAGAATGAAAAGAAGCTACTTGAAGAACTCAGTAGCCAGAAAGATTCTCTTCTCAAGAGCCAGACTGAATATGATGAAATCAAGCAGGAGATCACCGAACTCGGATTCGGATCTGAAGACATGGAACATCAAGAGTAAGATTCAGTTTTTAGATGGGAGAATCTTGGATAATTCTTACTGATTTCTATAGTCTCAAGAAGATAATCATAAACTTCAAAGATATTCATAAAGAGAACATGAGCTCAAAAGATAGAATTAGTAATCTTGAGGAAGAGATAAGTCAAAAGAATGAGGATCTCAAGAAATATCATGGTAAGATCTTTAGCTTAACAGTCTAATTAATTTTTAGACAATCAGGAAGTTCTATCTACTAAAAATAATGAGATCGTTCAAAATCTTTCCAATTGCCAGCAAAAGATTCGTGAACTGGAAGAGAATTCTCGAGCCATACACGAGCAAGCAAGCCAGCTTCAGTTAGAAAAAGAAAAGGAGAAGGAAAGTCATGAAAAGGAGACTAAAGCTCTTCTTGCAAAGATCCAAAGCAATTATGAGAAAAAATTTACTGGACTTATTAAGGAAATTATTGATGAATCTCAGCCAAAAGGGGCTATTTCAGATTTGCCAAACTTTGTCCCTGACACTGAGAAAGTCTTAGATCCTAATGATGATAAGGAGAACAAGTAACTTTGGAGCGTAATCTTTAGCCCTATGAATGAAATTGACCCCAATTTGCAGAAGAAAGATGAAGGTTCTAACCCAGAGCCTAAAGTTGAGAAAGATCCTCATATGAACTCAGAACCTCAGCAAAATGACCCTTATGAAGGGAGAAGTTCATCTCAGAATTACAGAGGAGGCAATAATAGAGGGAAAAATTGTGGCTTCAGAGGAAAAAGCCAGGGTCATAAAAGAGGAAGAAGATATTAGAAAGGAGTAATTAGTCAATGGTTTAAGAAGTTTATGGAGTTTAGCAATAATTTCAGTTAAAATGTAGCTTTTAGGGGTTTTGGGGTTTTGGGGTTTTGGGGTTTTGGGG